TTGATAATAGGAAATTAGGGTTTTGGTTTGGGATTTGTTTAATTATATTTGTTTTGTTCTAAAAATTTTTATTTTTAAAATATTTTTGTTGTTCATGGACTACCTAACGTGGTCGTCATTAGGTGAAATTAAATGAGATTAAGGGTGGCCCAATTGGAAGGAATTAAAGTTAAGGTGATTAAATAGAAATCAAGTCCAAAGTTGAGTCCCCATTTTTTAAATTTATCCTCCCAGTGCACTGCAAGTCAAGCGCGGGTACCCGATTAGCTGAGTCTCTCTGGTTCCCAACACCTCATCATCTTCTAACTCAAAGCAACACAATGAATAGAAAACGAGAAAGGAGCAAAGCCCAACACTAGGGATGTAAATAGATTCGGGTTTTGCGGGTACCTGAACCATTGACTCGACTCGGATTCGAATTCGGTCATAACAATTCAATTTCTGGGTCGGATTCGGTTACATGTTATTATATTTTTCAGGTTCGGGTTTGGATATGGTTTTTATATAATAATACCCATACTCATATATTCGTATTTATATACCCATATACCTATATCCAATTACCCGTATTATATATCCGAATTTCATACATATATACATATATATATTTATATACATACATGTATATATATATATATTTATGTATAACATCCTAAAATATTTTTTTATATGAGCGTTATAATTCATAAGATATATAATATTAGAAATTCAAAGATTTTTGAAATGTTATAAAAACATATTTTACAAAAAAAGAAAGAATTTAACTATTTATAAAAAAATATGTAATCATTAAATTGAAAATGAACATGAATAAATTTAAATTACAATGGTAAAACTAAACTTTGATAATTACACAATTCAAATTTAATAATTATTTTATTAAATATTTGATAAACAATAAAATGGTTTTAAAGTAGTACAAAACATAATTTATATGTGTTTACCACACACTAACAATATAGTGATCAAATTATTATTCAATTTTGACATCTAAAATAAATATTAAACAAAACAAAAAATATCATAATTAATAAAACTATAATTTAAACTAATAAAATTTAAATTATAATAAAATATATTACTAAAATTATATTGAATTAATTCAAATCAATTTAAAAAATGCTTAAAGTTTTTTTTATTGATATAAAGCAAAGCACACAGTGGTTAAAATGATAGAAATTTGTAATAACGATTTATTATTCTCTTAAGTAGCTATAAAATAGAGGTGAAAAATAATTTTCTAGAAAATGATAATTGAAAATATGAATTGTCTTATTACTATATTTAATTTGAAAGTATTATATTTTTAATATTCTCTACTTAATATATACAATTAAATTGTGCTATACAAATTGAAATTTTTTATTTCAAAAATAATTGTGAATGGAAAAATATGGAAACAATTTACACATATTATCCTTTGATAGGTAAATGTATATATGGCAAATTTCTCCAATTCAATCTCTTATATTTATAGTCCTTGGTGTAAAATAATAATTACAAATTGAAAAAAATAGATTAAATAAAAAAATATTAAATTTGAGAGTAAATTAGAGGATGGCTAATGTAAATGAAAAGAAAATCCAAATAAACAAAAAAATTATAAATTCAAATCAATTAAAAAGGTTAGATCACACACACACACACACAATGTATATATGTTGAGAAATTCTTGAACAAGTAGGAGACAGAGTTCTCTGTAATTCTGTTAGTTGTTTTGTTTTCTTTTCCTTCAATTTTAGTAAAAATGCTAATAATTTAAAATTTTGAAAATAATTTTTTTGAAATCCAATTTCTATCAAATCCTATCAGTTTTTGATATGATTGTATGGGATTTTAATAAGTTAAGTAAAATCCCATCAAATTTCATGAAATCCAAATTCTATTTTTTATTTTTTTAGATTTGAACGTTAAAAATAGAAATTTGAAATTCAAATCTCATCGAATTTCATCAAATGCTGAGTTATTAAAAATAAAGATTATAATTTTATATATAATAAAACAAATAATATTTTTTAACAATACTTCTTAATATTTTAAAAGTAAATATTTGATAATTTTTAAATTTTTAAATGTACTTTTAAAAGTTTTTTCTCTAAAGGACGTTAACTTTTCTTCTTTTTCTCATTGTAATTAATAAATTAAAATTATCTATTTTTGTTAAAAATTATCTTTTCTTAACTTTTAAAATTTTGAAAAAAATTGTAATTTTTTTAGAATCTCTCTAACTTCTATGGTTATGTTACATACTAAATTATTTACTAAATAGATATAGATATATGTAACTGGTATTAAAATAGATATGGATTTAACTATAGGTAAATAGTATTTAAATGGATATGAATATAAATAAATAATTCTTTATCTATTTAGATATAAGTATGAATATTAATATTAAATTTTTATTCAGATATAAATACAAGTATTTCAATATCGTACCTATACCCGACCCATTTACGTCCCTACCCGACCCTAAAAAAAGATAAACTAGTCATTAAACCCACCATGGCGTGCATACGCAAGGCCACCATGGACGATCTCCGCGCAATGCTAGCTTGCAACCTTTTCTGCCTTCTGGAGAACCACCAGATGAAATACTCTTTGGACGCCATCCCGTCATGGCGGCCACTCCTCTTCCTCTAAATGCAAGCATGTTAGCCACAGATATGAACTTGTTTAGGATCCAGCTACATTCCAGGGCTTGGCATGCGCATGTGCATGGTTTGAGCAGCTCTATCTTTTCCATTCCAAATCTCTCATTTTTGTGTGTTTACATGCGGGCGCGTGCCCAGTCTAGGTCCATCGCGGTGCCTTCCCCTCTTAGAACGAGGTGGGTCAACAAGTACACGGTGAAACGTGGGTTCACGAAAATGGCACTACCTTAAACACAAGGCTGTTGTCTGGACTGGGTTTGGTGTGGTCACCGAAGGAAGTGTTCCCCATTTCTCTGCTACTGGGGATATGAGTCGTGCATGTTGGTCCCCTTACGACGTTAATGGCTGGTAGGACAGAGATTCACATGGGTTTTATTTGTATATATTATTGGTCTGTCATCTTACAGGTGATGTTGGGGCAACTTTCAGAAGATGCATCACTTACCCAGTAATTGAATCAATCAATTGGTAAGAAAATCTTGCAAATATAATATTTTTGTAGGTTTAATTAGGCTCGTTTCCACTGGGTTTTTGAGGGAGTCAGCCATTTCTCCCTTTGATTGCTTCCCCGATTCAATCTAATAGCCTTATAATTAATAATAATTAATAGTAGTTGACCGTGTTAGGTACATCTCGGTCAAGGAGATAATGCTAACTATTCTTGGCCGGCTTCTGAAGGATGACAGGGCCGATGCTACAGAAATAACAATAGAAGCTTTTGCAAGAGTACAGCAAGTTGGGAAACTTGTGGCTTTCTTTTGCTCGTGGATTTATCCATAATCCGCTAGCTAAGTCCCCAGTGCGAAAACAAACCCACGTGTCCTGCCACCTTTTCTTCATTATGTGTGTAGAAATATGTGTAGAAATTATGCATATATCTAGGTAGGTACAATCAATTTGGTCAATCGCTTGGAATGATCCATACCCGAGACTTTCTTATTCAAAATGATACTGCTCATTCAAATATAATCTAACGTTTGGAAACAACCACTCTCAGGATAGTTCTAGAACACCCAAGTATAAGACTGGGTTGAAGTCTCCTTTTCCCTATTTGCATAAATATTTACGTAATTTTATAATTTGATAAAAATTTTAAATCAAAAACAACTCCAAATGATTAGAATCAGAAGTCTCTTCCTAAAAAGAAAAAGAAAAAAAGGGTATTTAGTCTCAATCTTGGATGTGGATTTCTCACCTTTTTCACATTATATAATTTCCCACTCCCTAAAGCAGGGCAACTGCACGAGACATAATTTGAAGGTTCTTTATTCAATGGAAAGCTCGCTTTTACCTTGAAGAAAGAACACGATTATCACACCCTGTTTTTTTTCTTCTTTGTTAAATTATTAAAGACTTCGGCTTGTAAATGGGTCGGAATGGATCCAACGGGCTTAGATCCGAGCCTAATTATTACCAGAGCGACCATTCATTGCAATCATCGCTCAATTTTTCGCCTAATTTCAGCTGATATTAAGCGAGTCCAGATTTTTAAACCCCATTTACTAATAATCAGAGTCTCAAGGGTTTAAATTTTAAGATGTATAAAACCAGATTGGATCCAAAATATGAATCTTTATAGGTTGGATCCGAGCATATGACTCCGGATGCTGAGATGTGAGTGGTCCAAGAGATCCTAGTCATGAGTTTCTTAATATATTTTGAGGTTCAGGTTTATACGTAACATTTTTGTTCACCTATTAGCTTATATAGCTGGCACATTAGGAACAAAGGTATCCATGGATTATGATTTTCCACTATCCTTTGTCCTAATCATATCACAACCAAATATTATTTGATTCCAATTCAAATTTTACAAGTTATATCAAGAAAATATTAAGTCAAATAAATTAGACAGGGACTGAAAAGGAAAGAAAAAAAAAAAAGGAAAAATCAAAGCCAATCACGTGATCCTCTTCACAGCAACTACAAAAGTAAGAAAATAATGATGGATTAAAAAAAACTAGAGCAGTTACAAGAATAGTGAAGGGATTGCAAGACTGGAATGTTCCCTTTAAGTGCAATACAAAATAGATGAGCTGTCCAAAAGCACACCACTTTGTTTAGGTAGGGTAGCCTCATCTCCTTCCTGCCATGTTGAGAAAAGAGCATCCAACAGAGATGGACCTTTCATTCATGTTTACAAGCTCCGTCATCAAATGTCTCCACAGAAATTCTGCGAAGAAGCCAAAGCTTGAGCATTACTAACAAAGTGTTCCAAGTCATTGGTCCCTCCATGATGATTCAAATGCATCATCTTAGATTAGCAAGAGCAAAACTTAATTGTCCTTGCAACATATATACATTTGGTTGGATTCCTACATAGGATGCCCCCAACCTAAGGGCTAGTTAAGTCATGAATCTCCGAGGAACTCGAGGTGTAGGCATGACAACGTCACGGCCAGATTTCATCAACTCTAGCCGATCTGAAATCGTTTTGTCAAACAGTCGGCTTTCAGGATTCTCAGCATAGCAGACATAGTAACAGCTGACACATGCCTGTGGCACTGCCATGGCAATCCTAGTCTGCCACGTCAAAAATCCCATATCAGATTAAGTTAAGCACATTATATTAACTAACTTGAAAAATGCCAAGTTGATATCTGAGCTATACATATGCATGGTTTTGAACAGCCAAGCCAACTAGGTAAATGGATTTGTTTTGGGTTTAAAGCGACTAACCATAAGATAACCAATGAAGAAGGCCAGGAGGGAGATGGTGGCTGTGAATATCTGGTGGACTTTGGCAGTCCAAGCAGCCACCACAATTACACAGATGGAGCCGCTGCAGACTCCAGTGAGGAAGCAGATTGCACTCGTCATGTCAGAGTCAACAAGGGCTTCCATTTGTTGATCCTCAAAGAGCTTCCAAGTGTCTTGTGAAGCCATGACGAACCCTTTTCCATATGCTGCTATCTGTTCAACATTTCCTACTATTATAAGTAAAAAATTACATAGCCACATCTCATATATAAAACCCAACGGAAATTCAATGTATGATGGATCCTACAGTAATGAAACTCTAATAATGCCCAAATACTAAAAGTACTGGATGGTCTGAAGAATCTAATATTTGATACCTGCACATAAGCCCAGCCATTACCATATCTGAATATAGACTCCATCACTCTAAGACAACAATGAGCACATGAAAACATGAACTCATCTTCTCCCTCAAGCAAATTCAGGCCTCGGGCCACAATCCTTAGAGCCTCAATTGTGGGCACGAAGAGGGACCCAAGACATGCACTTCCCAAATTCTTTGACAGGGCTCTTTGGAAGCAGAACTGAGTGTTAGACTGCATTCCCCTGAGATAAAACAAGGCAATCACCCTGCTAACGGTCAAATTAGCCACATTCCTCATGACTTCAGCCGTCCAGGCCAAACTCAACATCAGTGCAATTATAATCAATGGTGGAATATAGAAATTCAAAGACCCCATAACGGCTAGAATCCACAGGGACATCCACATGAACCCAGCACCAAGCATCCAATAGGTTGGTTGATTCAAGTCAGGAAACTTCCCCAATGGTTCAAGTGATTTGATCAATACCTTGCAAGCAAATATTTAGGATAGTAGATGAAATTAGAACATAATAAATATAACAAACATAATTATGCCATACACTTTCATAGACAGGCTAGGTCTTCTTCTTCCCACTCATATTCTATACGGGAGCACTTAACTGCAAACTGAGGTTAAGAGCGGAGATAAGACCCATCCTCTTATTCCTAACCATAATTGGCCTACACTAGAAAATGTACTTCTTATTAAACAATAACAGCTATGACAATAAAAGGCAGCCCACTTCACAGAAAATTTCCAACTTACCTTGCCACAAAACTTGATTCGCTGGTTGACCCAACAGGCATATAGGCCGTTACCAATTGCAAAGGCAATGAAGAGGACGCCAACACCATCAATGGATGGCTTTTGGAAGCAAATTAGAAGAATTCCGGCAGATAAGGACATGGCAAAGGAACTCCATAGTATGAAGTGAACCATGACTTCAGGCCACAATCTCACTGCTTTTTGCCATGCAAATGCCAGCGTTATGCTCAAAAGGGAAGCGGCCTCAACCTGGGGCAGAAAAAATTGTAAAATCCTTTCCTCCTTTCTCTGAATCGACCCAGGTTCTATTAGTCCTTGAATACCCTTGTATATAAGGAAGCATACTAGTCCAAAAGCCACCACCATGTGGAGAAGGAAGACGAACAGAGAAAACCTGTCTGTGTATGTTCTTGAACTCAGAGTCACAACTGATTGCTGATAAAACGTGAAATACCCAGAAAAAATTCAGATCAAAATTGTAAAATCTGCTACCCGAAATAGGAAAAAGAATAAAATCATACAAATAGCATCTACTAAGGTGTGATAGATAATCAGGATTACTATACATGCGACACCATGGAAAACCGCTGTAATATAAACTTAACATGATGAATCCTACTTTTTAGTGTGAATTTATTGTCATTAGTCTCTATTGACACTAGGCTGTTTGGAGTTGTATTCTGTTTTCCGCTGTCAAATTTTCTTTTATATGTTTTTTGAAAACACAACACAATAAAATCTTGAAAACTCTTTTTTTTTCTTATAATTCTTAATTTCGAGTAAAAAAATTACAAAATAACCATTTTTATTTCTAAAAAAAGTGACTGTCTTCTGAAAATTCTCCCCGAGACAATTTTCGAACCAACCTGTCAAACAAATTAATAAACTGTTTGCAAAAACAAGACCAGACGGGGCTAATTATGTAAAGAGGTAACGTTTGATCCAGAGTCGCCCCCAAAAAAAATCAGTACCCAGGTAAAGAGGACAAAAAAAATCGAAGCTATAGTTGCGTTTGAGGCTTACCTGTGGGGTTGGAGTGGCACGAGGCTGATCAGCAGGAGAAGGAGTGGCTCGAGACTGCGCAGGAGAAGGAGTGGAGCGAGGGTGAGGCGAGACTGGGGGCACTCTGGTGGCGCTGTTCATGACAAGCCGCAGAGGGTTTGTGGCGCTTAACCCCTGCATTCTTGACATATGAAAATGCTCAAGAGAATTGGATTTATCTTCGGTCAACTGAGGCTTAACTTCAAAACCCCTTCACCTTTCTCCAAATCCTTCACCACTGCTTCTGCTTTTCCCTTCTCCTGCTCTCCTCCCTCCCCCTCTACATTTTCGCTCTCTTTCGCCACCACCTATACACACAACACATGCAGACAATTAATTATCTTGACAATAACTTACGGTATACCAGAATCAGAGATAATGAGAAAATGATATTAGCTTACGGGATCTGTGGCACCCATCGGCGGCGAGGTGGGTCGGTCACCGGCGACGGAGATGGAGGTTATCTTCTACGTTGAACGTTGGATTTGTTTGTTTGTGTGGAGCGGCTTCCTCAGCAACGAGGAGTGACACTAGTGGTTCTCACTCTCGGTTTCACTTTCACCTCTCTGACACAAACGTACTGTTGCAATTTAGTGCTTTTCAACGCTCCTAAATGGCGCGTAACTCCCTCGTCCATCTAGGCGTGTTTGCAAATGCGTGTAAGAAATGCTTTAAATAAAAGTCGATAAATTAAATTTTAATGAGAATTAGAGGTCTTTGTAAAATTTATAAAAAAAAAGTTTTAAAATTAATAAAGTAATATTTAAGATATGATTTTGTAAAATAATTATAAAAAAATTTTAAAACAAAAAAGTTATTTTATGTTTATGTATATATAATTTTTTATTCTAAATTTTTTTACCATTACTTATTATTTTTATTTTTCTCATTTTTCTTTCTCTCACTTTCTTTTACTTCTTCTTTCTTCACCAGGCAACTCTTCTCTCCAACCTCAATTCCTCCTCTGCCATTTTTCAATTTTTGCTCAACCTAGAATTAGATCGCAAGCTTGAGATCAGTCACACGCAACGGCGCCACCATCATTGTATGCGGGGATATGTTTCGCTGTTGTGTGTAATGTTCTGTGTCACTACATGCAGCGGCAATCGCCGTTACCACACATAGGAAGATTGCTGCTACCCCTCACACAACAGCCAAATTTTTTTAAACCTTATTTTGAGTTGTGCAGCAGGAGGACGAAGGAGAAGGAGCCGAAGAGGGCTAGTCTTGGATAGAAGAGAGAGCAAATATCAACATAGAAGGAGGTTTGAGTCAAAAAGAGAAAAAGGAGAAAGAGGGAGGAAGGAAGGGAAGAGAGAGAGTTGTGCCAGGAAGAGGGTCTGGTGAGAGATGAAGGGGGCTGCTCTTGGGTGGAAAGAGGAGGATGTCGGCATGGGAGGGGATTTGAATGGAAGAAAGGGAGAGGAGAAAGGGGATAATTTGGAAATTAAAAGAAACATATAAAGACAAAAATGTCAAAATAATTTTTATTTAATTATAAATTTATCATTGAAATTAAAAGCATCCTACTCAACTTTAAAATTTTATTTTTTTTATTTAATTTAAGAAAAATAAAAGACAAAAACAGTATCTCAAACTATCTTAATCACTTTTTAATCATTTACAAGATAAAAATCACTTTTTCATAATCTGTTACAAACATTCTTTAACATGCTCAGCAATCTTTTTTCTTTCCAATTTGTCGTGACAGATGCATAATTCTGTCAAAAAATAAATTTGGAAAAAAAAATTCCTTTGACAGAAAAAAAGTTAATGAAATATCTATTTATATGAAAAGATATTGAAAAGGTTATTAAAATTATTAATAAGTAATTCTTGTGAATTTTTCAATTTCTAAACTACGACTGAAATAAAACATGTTTATATAATATCAAATCCACTGCATTATTTTTCTGATGGGCAGGTGAGGTTGGAAGGTCTTGTGAAGGCAGAGGGTGAGTAGAGTTTCGAGAGCTTAATTGTACGGCTGGGATTGGTGGGGGTCATCATACGTGGACCGATGGCGACGTGGTTGTATCCTTTATTTTTATTTCTTTTTGGTAAAAACTAATACTGACCCACGACTTTAATAATTGCCGTCATAACTGATGATTCCCTGTTTACCGTACAGATGCAGCAACAGGTGAAGGATTCCGGTTTTCAGAAAATGTCTGAACCGGACCAAACTTTTTTTTTTTGAGGGGTCAATATACAACTTGCGAAAATCTTCGAATTGAACCTAGTTGCGAATTTTAGTAAATTATTTAACTAAACCAAATTAAATATTTATTATTAAATTATATAATTTGTTATATTCTAACATATATTACATAAAAAATTTAATAAACCTGATATAAACGATAAAATATTTTTATGTTAAAATTCATAAAAACACATTTTCAAGAAAATATATTCTAAAAAGAATTAACGTCAAATAATAAATTTGTACAGACCAAAAAAACATATTACAATTATTTATTTTGTTTGGTTTAATTTGTTGGAAAAACTAAAATTTAAAATGTGATTTTTTTTTTTGTGTTTTATCGAATATTTTTTACACCACGTTCTCAGAAGAGAAATCAGCACAGTTAATCCTTAAGATAACGAATTAATATTCATTTTAAAGAACAATAAATAAGAAGAAGAGAGAAAAAGCTAACAGAATATATAAACATATGTCAAGATATGATTGTGAAATTTACACTTTTACCAAAAATTTTCAATTTGTGGTCTATTTTATACCAAAATATATTTTATTGTTATCCCAATTCCGAAAATATATTAAGACTTCAAAAATACAAAAAAAAAACAATATTTTCTATTTATTCTCAGCTCTGAAGAGAGAAAGGGGGGGGGGGGAATTACGAAAAAGCAGGCCTATAATGCTCGTTTAAAAGAATAATGAAAACTTGGGGGATCAATTTAAAATGTTTGCCTTTCAATGAAGATCGCTGTGCACCGCAGGAAAGAAGTTTTGAAATTTGAAACGGAGAGTTCTTTAATTTCAGGCTTACTAAAAAAAATAAATAAATAAAAGTTTCATTTAATTATAACCACTGCCGGAGCTTATGCTTTTGCTGCACAAAAATTTGAATGGAGAAAGTGAACTGGAATCAACTCTAATCTTTCTCAGGCAAATCTGAGCAGTCCGTTATCTAAAAATATTTGAATTTAAAAAATTCATTATTAAATTAAAAAATTAAGATTATTTGATAAAAGATAGACGGATCCAACCAATTATAATAATAAAATAAATAATTTTTTAATTACGTGTGAGAGAACTTTTAAAAATGTAAAGGGTGGGACTGGGATTTATTTTTCAATTTTTTTGAAAAATTTAGGATAAAAATATCCAAAATAGATAGTAATTGCGACTATGGTTAAAAACTTATAAGAAAAATTAAAAAAGAATGAACAAGGCAAAATAAAATTAAGTGAAAGTGATTATAAAATAAGATTAAGTTTTAGAAAACATTTATATAATTCTATAAAAAATAATAAAAATCAAATTTTAGTACATTTATTATTTTATATACTATTAAATTTTATAATTTAGCATTTAATGATTATTCAATAATTTTGCTTATTTTATATTACCAATTTAATAAATTATATAAATTTAAGAAATTCAACGTTCAATTATTTATTACCCTTATAATTATCCTTATTTAACATATTTTGTAACTTCTATTTATGACTTTATTGTAATTTTTTTAAGATATGAATATAAAATTATATATTTTTAAAATAAAAATGTAATTTATTAAATATTAGATTTTGATTCGTTGAGTCAATGATCAAATTATTTATTGAATCAACATCATTTAATGAATATTAACATATATATTTGTATATTATATACATATAATATATATGATAGATAATATAATACAATATTATATATATTACAATATAAATTTGATTCATCATACTTCAATTAATATGCTATTTTTATTAAAAATAAAAATTATAAACATATTTTTATTTTTTATAAAAACAAACAAATTTAAATATGTATATTAATGAATTAAATATAATTGCTATAGCAACTTCAAATGCAATATATTGTGGCAGATGAAATATAATTGTATTATATTTTTAAACTCTAAAATTATTTATTAGTTCATTTGTTTTTAAAAATTTCTTATTTTGATTTTTAATTATTTTTTTAAAAAATATAAAATAATAAAAATATGGTAATTTAATAATACAAATTCAAATTATTAATTCAAATATTAAATTTTATCTAATTTGTATACGATAATACCATACACATATCTAAGATTTTAGCATAATTTAGACATATTATATTATTATTAAACTTGAACCTGGATCACGATTATCTAAGTCAAATCCAATCCATTTGAACTAGGAATGTTCACGGGTTAAGTATAGTTCAGTTTTGGATCTAAAACTAAATCGAACCGAACATGTTGATTTTTATTTTTATTGGACATGATCGGTTTTTTTCAAAAAATCGAATCAAACCAAACCAAACCAAACTGAATTAAGTCAGTTTGGTTCGGTTGACATTTTCGGGTTTTCAATTTTTTTAATTTATAAAAAAATTTAATATAAATATAAATATATATAATAAATATAATATAAATACAATATAAAATATAAAATATATATAATATCTATATAATATATATATTAACAAATATAATCGGTTCGATTTTATTTTGAGACAAAACTGAAACTGAATTAAACCGATCAGTTTGTGGGGCTTTTAACTGAATTAAACTGATTCTTTTCAGTTTGTAATTGATTTGGTCCGGTTCAATTGGTTGGATTCCAACTTGAACATCTCTAATTTGAACTTGGTGGGTTAGTTGGTGCAGTGGGAGAAATGCTAGAATCACGGCTATCATACCAGACTTATTTTATTTTTCTTTTGTGAAGTTTTAATTTTTTAAATATTTTATTTGAAGCAAATAAAATTTTCAAAAATTATAAATAAAAAATAAAAATAATATAATATATAAGCCCCTCCGCGCCGGTCAAGGGCAGAGTTAAAGCGACTTGAAGAAGGTCAAGATCAGACGGACGTTAGCTCCGTTAAATGTTTTCTGGCCCGCCCAAAAAATTATTTCCATTGGTTGGGTGGCATTTTTGTTAGTAGAAACTAATTACCTGTCATTTAGAAGTATTCGACAATGGTAGAAAACTCAAACTGTTTTCCTTGAATGCTTGGATAAAGGAGACGACTAGTACAATCCACGGGAGCTTATTAACAGACACGTCATCAACAAATTTAAGTTCCGTCTCTGAAAGGGCTTAAGGAACTCATTTTCATAAAGTTGGGGCTTAAATGGAATAAGGGCTTAAGTTCAGGGGCTTTATAGTTTATAATTTACGATATGATGTAATGTGCCTCGATCTCCGCACCCAGTGATAAAACACGTGTGACTCTTTGAGACATTATTGATCTCAATTATTTATCAATTTTTTTTAGAATACA